ATTCTAATAAAAGTTTGAAGCAAATGTTAAGACAAGGCTGAGTGAAAATCTTATTTTTAAACAAATTGGTCAAGCATAAAATAATGGCATACTCAGTAAAACCTTGGGTGACAAAGAAATTGTTTGAATAACACTTTTGGTATTACCCATAGTGACCTATTTTCTCATAACAGATGCTCAAAGAACAATTTGGCTGTGATTAATAGCTGTTGTTTAATACATTTATGCTCTAAAATGTTTGGTTGTTTGGTCATAGAGTAAGAGAGAGGGAGGGAAACAGCCTTATGTGTGCAATGGCTCCATCTGGGTGGGTATTTATTAGCGCTGACCTTTGTGGGTGCTACTATGGCTACTCATAATCCAACAGAATTTGAAATGAGATTTATGGCTATTTGTAGAGGTTGGAAATAAAAGGTTTAAAAAGTTAAATTTGCTTATATACTATTCAGCATTTTAATCATCTGAAATCTGTATTTATATAAACTAGACTATTTAAAAATACGAAGCATAGAAGGTTCTACCATGTAATACCTAGTATTTTACAAAATAGCCCTATACACCTTGCTTTATACATATTAATCATTTTTGCATCTCACAATACTATAATGAACAACATTTTGGAAATTGGAACAAGAACTATATCTAGTCCTTATGTTTTCAAATTACTTTATATTATTTGAGTGGATGAGGCAGAAAAATCACAAGGTTAACCAGGAAAATATAAAAACACTGTCAAGAAATAATAAATAATACATTTTATGTTGTAATTTTTAAACAGTTTGTGGCAAGTACTGTGCAATTTTGAGGTGTAGAAAGAAGGAACAGAATTAGTAATTGATGTTAATAGTAATTAAAGGAGTAAGATGGCAGAGTAGAGTCATTTTGACAGTTCCTCTCCCCAAATAAAATATAGAGATAATCCCACAGACTATACACAACAATCACAAAAATGAAACACTCAATTTTCATGAACAAAGGAACATAGTGACAAATTCCCTGGGCATTTTCTATGCATTACATGTTCCAGTAACTGATTCTTGAGAACCCTAATTACCAATGTATGCACACCAGAAAGCAATGTAGTTCTGTCACTTCAGAAATCTCTGAGGCAGCATTTACTCTTCATTAGCAAAGTTCTGAATCTACTATTGTACATAGACCTAGTTCAAAGCCCATATCCTTGTTTACCAACCACAAAAATATGTTATATATCCTTCTTGCTAACTGAAACATAATACCATTTGAGGATCTTCTTGCTGTTCTGTTTTGTAGTCTTACCTGTCTGTATTCCTACAATATTGTTTCCTTCTACTCTTACATTACTTTACATCCAGTATAAGAGTAGTATTAGATAAAACTGCTGCCTTTCTGTTGTAAAAAGCACTTTTGTCTATGTGTAAATGTTACTTTATCATGTGTAAACACATTTACATATGAATTGGTTGAGGGACATTTAGGTTTATTCCACACCCAACTTAGCTATTACAATGTAACAAACATATGATTGTAGATATACCTAAATCATCCTGATTTTAAATCATAAGCATGCAAATGTAATATACATCCTAACCAAGATTGTACATTTCTGATTTATTACATTCCTCACTAACATTTAACTTAAATAATTTTCAAAGCAGACATTTGTAAGGCATAAGGAACAGTTTCAACATTGCCTTCATATAACTGTTGGTATTAGCATGGATTCTTTTGTGAAATATCCATGTGTATCCTTTGCCTGTAATTAATGCATTAATTTATTAATTTATGCTTTTTGCTATTTACTTTTCTGAATTCCTTACATGCTTTGAATATGAGGCCTTTATCATTTATATGGTTCAAAAACATGCCCTGCCATTATGTAGATTGCCTCTCCAATCTCCTGTGTATTCTCACTTGTTTGAGTTCGCTTTTGTTGGTTTTCCTTTTGAGTTAAAAGGAAAATGAATTGTCCAAGAAATAAATCTGATAAGCTTCTCATATAGTATTATAGTTCCTTTTCTTAAATTTAAAAACAATCCATTTTGTCTTTATTCTGTTTATGATTTCAGATAAAATGGCTCAGTATCATTCTATGGCAAGGGTTATCATTTCACTGGCATTTTGTTGAAAGTCAGCTAATTCTAAACACACGAATTCGTTCTTGCACAATACTGTATTGAACTTGTAAATTTTTATATTCGTGGTAGTATTTGCAGACTAGTACTATGGCTTTTTAAATGTATCCAGTCTTTGCTATTTGGGTTGAATTTTATCTTGGCTCTTAAGGTTTACTTTGTTGTTTGAATTTTATTGTTACTGTAATTGACTTCAGAAGTTTCTTTTTTTTCCCATGATGATAATAGTTATTTTTATAGAAGTCACAAATAATCTTAGTGCTTTTATAATTATATTTTAGTAATACTAGCTTATCCATCTCATTACTATTGACTATGTTTATGCTATTTGTGTCTTCTTTAGTCTGTGCACAAATATTTTACCTCCATTATTAAATTTATTCCCAGTATTATTTATTTATTGGTTTATACTATATTATCTTGTCACAAAATAATTAGACAAAACATTTATAAGGTATATTTCCAAATACTTAGACTCTAAATGTTACGTTTCCAAAGAATTTTTCAGTTAAAAAACAAAAGCAGCATAATGAATAAAACATTACAAATGATCAAGAAAATAATAATTCAAGAAAAGTCAATCACAGATGTAAAAAGTCAATGAGGAAAGGATGATGATTTGTTGGGAAGCCTATACTGTGATTTTGTAGAAAAATAGAAATTCCAACAAATGAAGTAGTGGATTATAAAAATGGGAAAATCTATAAAACATTTTATCAAAACCAAAAGAATTATAAAATAAGAACAACAAATGTTATTTATGTTAGATTCACCTGGAGAAATGAAAGTCAAATTAAAATAAGAAAGAACAAGTAGTGTCAGCTCATGTTGCTGTCAGAAAAAAACACAGAAGCATCCTCCTAGCAATCCTAACGGGCCTATACAATTTTACAGGCACTGAGAAACCCATCCAATTTTTTATTTCTTATGTTTGCTTATTTTTTTAAGTTTATAATTCTGGACCTTTATCTCTAAGAAATGAAAACTATGTTCATGCCGTTGTTTTACACAGCACTGCCCTTGCTTTAGAAGAGTTGTGATGACTCTGGTAGATGCTGTGTTGTGTCAGTCCAGGCTCAGCTACTCCATCATTGCTGCCAATCTGACTGTGCTATTAGTTTCTTCTCTTTTCATTCCACTTGATAATTTTAGTGTTCCTAGAGAAATACTACTTTCAGTATGGAAGCTGTTGACTTTAAAGAACTTCATCTACTTGCCAAAGTCCAAAGTCCAGTTGCACTTTTTCGCATCTCATTACCTAATGGCTTTTATGTATTTCACAATAATTTCCAACCAAGTATCTTTTTCAAAATTTGCACATAAAGAATCATGTTTGAAAACAAAGAATTCTGATTATAAGTAGTATGCATTCAGCTGAGAGTTAAGCAATGTGCAAGAAAGTGAATCGCATTTGTTTTTCATGTAGTATCTTTTTTTACATGTAACAAATATAGTAAATTGAAGAATAAAACGGAGTAGCAGTTACTGATTTAATTTTACAATTATAACCCATTAGGTAAGTATTTTTGTTAGATTGTTAAAAAAAAGGTAGAAAAGTAACAACTAAAAACCAAATATTGCACTGCTGTTGCAAGATCACCCATATTAGAATGTGTGTAGTGTTTTTTTTTTAACTTAAGAAAGCCAAGCAATGTTATAATAAGTGAAGTCACATTAATATGCATTTATACAAACACAAAAACCATTTTAAAGAGCTGTATAAGTGTTAGCACTCTGATGCTTCATTGGTAGTTAGGGAGAAAAATAGGATCAAGGAACAAAGGGAAGATCTGTGGAGGGAGGAGGGCACATCAGAGTGTGGGTCCGTCCGGAAATTAAGCCATGAGTAAAGCCTGTGGAAAAAGGTTCTTTTCTAACCAGATGCAAGGCAAAACTGTGCTTACACACACGCTTTGGAGATGTGAAAGAGAAGGAATGAGTGCATGAAAGCTGGGAGCACAGTTTCTGGTCCAACAAAGAAAAATATGAATGAAGGAGGGAATCCTCAAGAAAGATGCAGACATAGAAAAGGAAGGGAGTAAAAAGCCATGGGCACATACACAAGGCCAAGCAGGGTCACCTTGACAAAAAGAATGCCTCCAGTCAGAAAGGAGACAGCATGGTAAGCTACTGTATGGAGCATTACAGAGTCATCGTTGGTAAAGCTAGGTAAATGATTTCAGAAACAAATTGTGGTAACGAGTTTGTATTGGGTTTCCATGTCACAGGATTAAATTTTCAATATGATATCTTTTATTCTGTTTTCAACAGAAGAATAATATTTTTGTGATTTATTTAAATTGAAACAATCTTACTATCAATTTCATTATAGGGTAATGGAAGCAAGATAAATTTTGAAATATTTATACATATAAAATTGTTTAATCTTTTTATTGAGCTAACAATATAGTTATCACATTCCAGTTTAATATAACTTATATGAATCAATGTAAAAATTCATTGACTAATTCATGTTCATCAAAGCATAATTACTTAGAATTTGCTTAAAACCATTTTCTTTGTTAATTTGTACTCATATTTAATGTTTGGTTGATTATTGTGAAGCAGATAGATTTTTAAGTTATTTTTTTTTATTAAGAAACAGCCATATGGAACCTTCAGGTCTTATCATGTTGTTCTCATATCTAGTTCATACCACATTAAAATTAAGACCCAGAGTCAGTTGAATATAATTTATCTGGGGTGATGCCTTTCACTGAAAATCTGTCACTGACACCTTACAATAAAATTAGTCCAGCATCACAGGGATATTTCAAGGTAGGCAGAGAACACTTGTGTTAATAAGTCCTGAAAGTTTTGTTCGTTACATCTTTGTGGTACTATTGTAACTAGAAATATATTATGCAATGGGTTTCTTTTGTTTACCTTTGCTTCAATTTGTTTAGTATCTGGATTCTGAAACAAAAATTTTATTTTGCTTTTGCCATCATCTGATGAGCCTTTAAGCTGAGAAAATTTAAACCTCCAAAGTACAGCCTAAAAGGAGACAGAAAGGGAAACACATAAGTCAAAATTAATGACTGCATTCCATTCAAGAAATTACATATTTTAAATATAAAAGTTAATCTTTTTTAGTAATGTGCCACATTATTAATATGTAAATTCAATATATTCTTCAAAGGCTATCTTTAATATTCACTCTGTATTTTAACATATATATCATATGCCACCAATGATTCTCATAGACATGACTTAAGGGAAATCTTCAGTGAGATAGTACTATTCCTTCCCAGAAAAGTAAAAAATGTACCTAGTAAAAATGTACGTCCTCTATGATTATCTAACACTGGTCTAGAGAAAATAAGATTAGTAAAAGTTTCAACCGTACAACTAAGAATACATAACTATGAGTGATGAAATATTTCTTTATAACTAATCACATATGTAAGTATGTAATCAATATTGTTTACTTAGTTCTCTTTAGTTGAAATTCTAATCTACTGTGGAGCAAGGGAAACACTCCTACATTGTTGGTGGGAGTGAAATCTTGTACAGCCACTAGAGAAATCAGCGCAACAGTTCCACAGAAAGATGTGAATCAGTCTACCACAAGATCCACCTACACCACTCTTGGCCATATACCCAAAGCATATGTCATTTTGCCACAAGGACACTTGCTCAATCATTTTATTGCTGCTTTATTCATAATAGCCAGAAATTGTAAATAACTTAAATGTCCCCCCAAGAAGAATGGATAAAAAAATGTGGTGCATTTAATAAATGGGTATTACTCAACTCTTTAATAACATGGCTTCATGAAAATTGTGGGCAAATAGATGGAATTAGGCAAAATTATTGTGAGATTATAACAACAGCTTGTCAAGAGATATTAATATGTCAATATAATATCAAAGGGAAGGCTACAGAGCCCCACCCTGTGCCAATATTATGTGCAAAAAATTGGAAATAATTAATGTATAACTTCTGCAATCCATAATTTGCCCTTATATGGATGATATCTTATTAGTAGATTCATAGGTAGATTCTTTAGAAAAAAATGTTTGAAGAAGTAAAGAAAAATTTGCCTCACTTGGTATTAAAAATTGCTCCTGAAAAAATACAAAGAGGAGATTTTATTAATTATTTAGAATATAAAATGTCTATGAAAAATTAGACCCCCCAAATATACAAATCAGGAGAGATCAATTACAAACTCTTAACGACAATCACAGATTCCTAGGAGAGATTTCCTATTGATAACTCAATATTGGAATAAACTCTGATGAACTGAGTAATTTTATCAGTACCTTAGATGATGGGGACAAGAACAAAGAGTGTCTAAGAGAATTATCAGTTGACACTAAAAGAGAATTGCTTTCTATGGGGGGTGAACTACAGAATTCAAATGTGGATCATGCAAAAACAAAAGTTTAACTGCATTCTTGGCAATCCCCTACAATGACTTTAATGCAGGAGGAAGATATAATATTAGAACATATACTTCTACCTATATAATCAGATTAGAAATTAATGATATATTTAAAAGTTTTCTCATCTAATTTTTATTTATTTATTTATTTATATCTATATTTATTTATTTGTTTGTTTGATTGTATTTTTTCAAGACAGGGTTTCTTTGTATTGTTTGGGAGCCTGTTCTGGAACTAGCTCTGTAGACAAGGCTCCAGGCTGGCCTTGAACTAACAGAGATTCACCTGCCTCTGCCTCCCAAGTGCTGGGACTAAAGGTGTGTGCCACCAATGCCCGGCTTCTGACCTGATTTTCAAAAGAAAAATAAGACTTTGTCAACTGGCAGGAATAGTCCCAGCAGAAAGTCTAGTACATTTAACTAGTGAGGAAATTTATTCTTTCAGTAATTGGGGGTGGGGGAGATTAACAGTAGTTATCCCCAAAGTGAGAGAATTAAATTTATAAAAAGAACCATTGGGTCCTTCCACACACTGTATGGAGAACACCAGTCTCCGAAGTCCCTACATTCTGTATTGATGTAAAAAAATCAGGAAAGGCAGGATATAAATCAGGAAATTTTAGTAAAGTGGCTCAAAAACCTTATCATTCTGTACAAAAGAATTGCATGGGATACTTATGGTGTTAATGGATCATAAAGAACTTGTCCATTTAGTTACTGCCTCTCAATATACAGAGTTCTTTTTACATATTGAAACTGACAAAAAAGATTTAACTTATTTATACAATTACAGTAAATAATCATGGATAAAACACACACACACACACACACACACACACACACACACACACACACACCACACCACACCACAACAAATCCTTCTAGCATAAGGTAATGATGAAATTGATAAGTTCTTAACAGGTAGTATACTGGAGATCTCAGAATTTCATTTAAAAAATGCTAATAGCCTAGGTTAAAAAAGGATTGTTTCCCATCATTTGGCAACAAGCCAAGGAAATCATAAAAAAGTCCTACCTGTTCCTTCTAAAACTTTCTAAAACTGCATTACCCACAGGAAGTAACCCCAAATGTATTCAGAGAGATTGCATTGGCAAATGTATGTGTTTCATTTTGCAGATTTTGGAAATTTAAAATATGTACACCATACAATATTTACATTTTTGAGATGGCATTGGACAATTGATTTGATTTCTGAATAGGCTGATTCTGTAATTTCACACCTATTGGAAATCATGACCATCATGGGAATACCTGTACAAATTAAGACTGATGAAAAACCATCTTTCAGCTGGAGGCAGCACACACCTTGTCCTGGTTTAAGGGGACATTAGGGTCCAGACCATGAGACCACAAGTCCCTTTTCCCAGGTCTACATGAATGAGGCTCTTCTTGTAAAGGGGTCAAGGCCATTCTGGCGAAACCCACAGAAACATCTGACCTGAGTAAATGGGAGGTCATCAACCCCAAACTGATAGCTGGGGAACCAGCATATGGCTGAACCAGGCCCCCTGGACATGGGTGTCAGTTTGGGGACTTGTGCAGTCTATGGGGCTCCTGGCGGTGGTACCAGTATCTATCCCTAGGACACAAATGGGCTTTGTGAGCCCATTCCCTATGGAGGGATACTCTCTCAGCCTAGATACATGGGGAAGGGCCTAGGTCCTACCACAAATGATATGACAGGCTTTGATGACACCCCCCATGGGAGGCCTTCCCTCCCCGAGGAATGGGTGTTGTGTGGGATGGGGAGTTGGTGGGGGGATGGAATGATGGTAGGGAGAGGAAACTGGGATTGGTATGTAAAATAAGATTGTTTTTAATTTAAATAAAATTAATTAAGAAAAAAAGAAAATCATCTTTATTGAAGTAATGCAGACCCAAAAAGGCAAATAAGCCATATAGTCACCCACACATGTATATTATACATAAAATAACTAATAAGTTATTTAATTATAATAGATTATAAGAGTTATAATCTGATGATACAAGAACTCCCTGGTTTTTTTTTAATTTTATCCTGCCAGGCCCCACTGCCCTCTTTTCAGCCCCAAAATAAATACACAAAAACTTATATTAATTATTAAACTGTTGGACAATTGTCTAGGGCTTCTTACTGACTAGATCTGTCTTAATTATTAACCTATAACTACTAATCTACGTATTTCTACATGGCCTTATCTTACTGAGAAAGTCTGGCAAGTCCTATCCTCCCAGTCCCTCCACGCCCTTCCATTTCTCTCTGCCTACCTTTTCTAGAATTCTCTTCATCTCCTAGTCACACCTACCTTCCTGCCTCTATTGGCCAAGTGTTTTAGTCACCAACCAATAAGAGAACCATATATACAGACAGACATCCCCCATCATCTCCAATTTTCTGTCTAAAAAGGTTTTTAACTTTAACAGTAAAATTATATATAACAAAATAGTTATCAGGTAAGAACTATAGTTGACAATATTTAGTCCATTAACATTTGGAAAAATTTAAAGAAAATATTCTATCATCTATCCTATCTTTGTGATAGGACAGATGTTTTATATGTAACTTACCCTTTATCATAACTAACGAAAATTGTAACTATTTGTCTTCAACTCCATCAAAGACCACAGAAGGGCAATATATAAACTCTAGAATTGATATAGACATATTGCTGCCTGGACAGTCACCCGATGTTCTTCTGTAATGTTGGTGCAGGGGTCTTAGCCCAACCACAGAAGGTTGAGCTGAGTCCAAGGAAAAGTAAGTATGCTGCTCGCCTGTTTCCCAGACTCCCAGAATCCTGGAGACAATCAGACACAGCAGGGAGTCTAGTCAAGCAGGAACTCATTTACTGTCCAATAAAAAACATCTTATCTTTTAAAGGAAAAAGAAAAACCAAAACTGTAGAATGGGAAAACAGCCAGCCAATGGTTTTAAAGGTCAGCCTATCATGCACATAGGTGCCCTATGCTTTACTAGTGAACAGGAGCTATTAATGCAGTGACCTCATCTGGTTTGATCCAGGCAACCAATCATCTTGATTTTATAAGCAACTCAGGATTCACTCATTTGACTTCCCCTCAGCACCATCTTCGACTGGCTTGTGTGCCCTACAGTCGGGACATCCATCTTCAGCCTACAGGCCTAGAGAGTTTGGCAGACTTCTCAGCAAAGCAGGATATTTAAAACTGTCTGTGTTGGCAGTTTGTCAGTCATTTTCCTCTGTGTCCTGCAGAATGTCTGACAGACTCTTTCATGAAGCAGGAACCCTGAAGGGACTGTCCCAGGGTTTTGTCAAGTTCAGCAGTCACTTTCCTGTGGGTCCTGCATGTCCAGTTTGTACAGCATGCAGTCGAGAAGTCCAGGCAAGAGCAGTTTCCTGACCAAACGGCTAGTCTCACCACATTGAAACCAACTGCATATCGAGTTTCTTCGATGCCCATCTCCCTTTCTGATGCAATTGGTGTTGCCAGGAGCAGTCGTGTCTTACTGTCTTAAATGCCATATTCTATAGCTCTTTAAAAGGCTTGCAGAATATCCATCCATCTCAAGTATCTCTCTATATCTAGAACTTAACTAACTATAAGTTTTGACTATTATCAGTGATTA